TGGGCCTTGTGCTCCTTATGCCGCGCCTGATTTCGTGCTCACTGGGTTTTCATGTTATAAGAGGTTGAAATTTGGTTTAGAACACCTCTACGGCCCTCACAGCGAATACATCTGTGCGCGGTGTTTAGGATGGCCCTTTGTGCGTTCACTTGTTCCCCGCCTCTTTGTTGTTGATATTTTTGTTGTTTGTTGTCGTTTTTCAATGTTTGTTGTTCTCTTGCAGACTGAGATTATGCGGCTTGCTGATACCTCGCCTGATGAGACTGAGGCCGTCCGGGAGGAGTGAGGTTAGTCTCCCTTTCTTTTGCCTTTTCTTTTATCTACCTTCTCTTCACTCTGTCCTCTGTCCTAAACTTTATTTTATTCTCTTTCAGATGTGATACTAGCCGTACTTTGTTCTTGATTTATTTGATTCGGAAGATGGATTATTTAGTTTATTGATTACTAACTTACTATCATGAGGACCTTTGATTGGCTCATGCTTGTATGTTGACTTGTGCTCATATTTTAACTTGATTGTAAATGTTGACTTGTGCTCGTATTTTAACTTGATTGTAAATGTTGACTTGTGCTCGTATTTTAACTTGATCTCATGATTTGAATATTGACTTGTGTTCGTATTTTAACTTGATCTCATGATTTGAATATTGACTTGTGTTCGTATCGTTTGACGATTGGCTCATGCTCTTCTCGTTTATTGTTTAATAAACCTTGTTTTCTATGATTTCGGTGTTTGGAATGAAAACTCCTTTTATCTTTACAATGATTTTATTGCGACTTTGAGCATGAACACTTAATACTTCACAGCACTTTGCTTTGGCACAACAACACAATTCATCACAGCTAAAGGAACGATTTGATTGCACAGGAATGATTTACTACTTAAAGAACAATTGACTTGGCACTTAAACAGTGAACACATTTAATGTTTGCATTTTAACAACACAGAACAATTCTATCACACTTAGAACAGGAAATGATTTATGGTTTGATCACAACTTTAGTTTGGCACTTGAAATACAGTGTTTATTATTTTTGTGTGCATTCACTTGCCTTATGGAATCGTTGTTTGCACTTCCTGCACTTCATCTTTTTCCTGGGATCTTGGGGGTGGAACTTCCACTTACCCTTCTCCGTTTCTCGTTGCTGAATGAGGTTGTCCAACCATTCTTTCCTGCCAGTAGGCTTTTCCAAGGTGAGTGGCATGAGCTTCTATGGCATGTCTAGTTTTAATCCTCCACAAATTAATTCCTTGTTTGAGCGCTTTTCCTCCAACTTTTTCTCTAGTTCTCTGATTGCTGCTTCTTCTTCTTGCATCTTGTTCTCTATCTCCTCTATTCTGCTGTCTATTTCCATGCTCATATCCTCTCCCATCGCCACATCTACCTTGTTTATTTCTGCCTCTAGTTCTTCCATCTCCATTTCTATTTCTCTCTTCTCTATCCTGTTTTCTTCTGAGTCTGACTCTGACAGTGTCAGTTGAGGTAGCATTTTCTCTGCTACATTGACAGCACTTTCTTCTTCGTCACTGTCACTTGACAGGAATTCTCTTGTCACCATAGGTGGTATGAAAGCTTGACTGGCATAATGCTGCCTTATTTTCTGTGGCAAGAACTCTAAATCTTTTTCACATGCTTGTCTGAATTTGGAGGTGCTGGGCAAGTTCATGTATTCCCCTGCTGTGATGGGGTGATGAAGGTACCAATCCTCTTCGAGTACAGCTTCCGGGTCTTCCACCATTTTTCTGCATGTGATGGGGAAACACGTTAGGGAATCTGGCTCTTCCCTAGGGAAGGCCAGATTTCCTTTTTCTTGTACCATTTTTTTGATGTGATTGGAGAACACACACTTCTCCATGGGAGAGTCAGGGAATGACTTCTGACCTGACGGGCCTGCCTGGCTTACAGGGAAAGCCACAATCTCTTGAGGCATTTTCTTTGGCAAATTCTGTAACAGATTCACCAATTTTTGGTATCTTTCCTTCCCCCTTTTCTTTAAAAGACTCTCATCTGGACACTTTTGCTTACCTTCTGAGTCATCCGGGCCGCGGCTCTCCTTAAGGCTGAGGCTTTTGCCTTTTTCCTG